TACCCCCCTCCTGACATAATTTTGATTATATGTGTAGTTTGTTTCTCAAAAAACAAGTTTCCATTTTAAATTCAACAGTTTCCGATTGCACCACCGCACCAGGTAGGCCGTCTCATGTCATGGTGAATAAAAAGAAGTCAGCATCAATCCGCCTATTCTTCATGATAGTCATAATCCTTATAATTCTCGTGACTTGCCGAAAGGTTGAATTCGTACAGTTAGTCATCTTACTCACGATTGGGCGTCGAAATTTAGGAATAATCGCTAATAACTCGCAGACCGATGCCAACGTGAGGGCCCAATATCTATGCTCATAGAGAAAGTCCCAAACTGAATAAAAACACATGCAAGGCGGTTTGCCAACAACCTACATCCTGAGTGTAGATTCCAAAACAGTTTACCGAGGCTTCGTAATATTCTTTACGCTTTTGAAGTGTTGAAGTGGGTGCGTATGTCCAGGTGTCCCCTTCATATGCAGACCATAAGAAGTGTAAAACATGTAATTAATAGCAAGACCATCGGTGTCCAGTCTAAATCAGTCGACGCAGTCTGCCCAGTTGTGTGCGTGTATGTGGCAGACTGGTGGGCCAAGAGCCAGGCCGCTTCTCAACGTGACCTGCTTCCACACGACGAGAGCCCGCACCCAGACGTACCACCACACACCCTGGTCCACAGCGAACATTGGAACACGGTATTCCTTGTGTTGGCCCAGCACATCCAGCGCGTGGCCCGTCTTAAGAGAACCTCACAAAGTCCAACAAACCCCTGCTGCTGACGTGTACGTTCAAGTTGCAGCAGACGCTGCAACATTGGCAGAGAGGTGGATTTGGTGAATCGGGAGTGAGGAAATGCCCCTCATCTGAGTCCTGCCGTCTAACTTCCAACAAGTGGTCTTTATCACCTGCCTGATTCAAAAGGCTGGCTTAAGAGGATGAGGAATAGGAGGGAGTGGGAGTAGGAGGGAGGAGNAGGAGGAGGAGGAGGAGGAAAATGGCGGGCGAGGGGAAGATGTAGACGAAAGAGGAGGAAGGGCAAGAGTGCTGTTTCGCGTTGGGGCAGTGGTGGCGGAGGAGGAGGAGGAGAAGGAGGACCATGGAGTCGGTGATGACCAGTTACTCGATTTACGAACAATCCTGGCACAGCCTATTAATCAAGTTGCCCATCATACAGTCTACACCTTCAAGGAGTATCGGTGTTTCTCCATAACACGCGGACGAATTTTAGCGAAAACAGACGTTGGAATATATTCGTGCAATTTCCAATGCTAATACTTGTCCTAGGCCCCAGTTACGCACCTGGGCGACTTTTTCATTGAAAGGATGGTAATTTACCCTCGAGAGTTTTATTAAACAGATTTAGCCAGACTAGAAATTTTATTTCATGTCTGATGGTTACCATGGTTATTAACTCGCCAACACAAAGGTTATTTAAAGAAAGTCAGAGGCTTTATCAACTCCTAAATGTCAAATTAGCAGATCTGTGCGATTTTTTGCCCTAAAGTGAAATAATAACGCAGATAGGGATTCCTTCGTTTAAGTGGACTGAGATTTTTTTGCCGTTTGGAAAATTCTACCTGATGTCACATAGATGACCACCACGGAATGGTCATTTCCAGCTTTAAACATAGGAAACACTACTTGTCGTGTAGTTTAGCTTCTGTGGCAGTTGACAAACCGTCATATATGAAGTCACACTACTTATTAAACGATATTTAGATGTAAACTTCACTAAAGCACTGTTATTAGACATTTTCATGTCTACTTTCATATTTTCTACGTTTTTGGTATGAGAATACATTCCATACGTCTAAAAACAAACTTTACATAATTAGAGCCATTTCTGGCGTTTTCGGGATATTGCGCTTTTCAAAATAAATCGACATTTCTAAGCAACGCAATACTGCCTATAATATTACTTTTATGTTTTTAATTCCTTTAAATTTGTACTTAATTAACATAGACAATTGACTCATGAAATGGTGTCAGTTTGCGACTGATTGGCAATCAGTCGTAAATTTCGACACATTCCATGATTAAGGTCAGTAACCGTATGTGTGACGGCCTCGCTTTGAATCGTAGACTGAATAACATGGTTAAACTGGCAGGCATCTTTGATCTTGGCCGCAAGAATAGCCCGTTCGCTCAACCAATCGTGATTTGTATAATTGGTTTGGATTTTGGGAAATACCTTTTCAACCAATTCTTCATTTGACGACGTTAAATTAACGAAGGAAAGATGTAGTTAATGCGTCCTGAATTCGGATCAACCGGCATCGTTCTGTTCCCAGCTGCCAGTAATCGGTGTGGAAATATCTCAGCTGATCGGTCGTTTTACAGCTGGAAACGCACATATATCTATATTATGACCCGGAAGGAAGGTAGAACAGGAAGATGGCCGGTCCGGAGGACAAGCACTTTATTGGCAACTTGCGGACACGAGGGGTTCCAACTCGTCAGAAAGACGCTCAATTTGCGTTGGCCCCTGTGCGTTCTGGAACATTCCGCCCAACGGCGCGCCAGCTGTTGAGGGCGTTCTAGAATGTTCCTGTCCGGGGAGTGCTAGTCGCTGATTGGCCACCGCGTGCGCGACAGTCCCCCCCCCCTCGCGGACACGTCTGGACTGTCCGACCAGCCACTGGTTGGGACGCACGCGTGAGCAAAGCCAGCAGACGTGCTCGGCGCTGCAGTGCACGCCGGTCGGCCGTCTAACTTCACGCCGCCGGCTCGGTCCTCTTAGGCTCCACGCTGCTTGTGCTCTCCTTAACAGACACATCCGCCTCCCCATCTCCCATTCTTTTCTTACACTGTCACGGTACTGGAACTCACGCGATAAGCCTTGTTTGAATGTACAATGCCTAGTTGACCTCTATCTTCGTTAAACCGTTTGAGATAATTTTAAATATGACCATCCCCAGAGAGTCAATAAATTCTTGTTCAGAGACGCTCAGGGAGAAAGGCCGACAATACGTAGAGATTCTGAGCGGATCAGTGTTTGGCTGCTCAGTCTACCCCAATTCATCAGTGAAGCTACTCCCAAAACTATCAAAAGACGACGCATACGCAGGCGCTGACTGTGTCAGTGACTTATCAATCTGAATGTCGATAGGTCTGAAAAATTTTGAAGTCATCGTTCTGCTTTATCTGGGTGGCGTGGAGTTTTGAAAACCACGGCGTAGAGAAGCTCATGCCGACATCGCAAAGAGTCCACTAGTGTTTCTTAAACAAAACATTGCAACTAGTAATGTTAAAACGGTTTCTCTAGCCACAAGCAGGAGGGTACGATGAAATGCTAACCTTCCGGAAGCTGAATGGTTAAGACTACACTGCTCCCTGCGAGCAATTCCAGATGACACCACAACCTAAAAAAATATAGTGCGCCTCCGACAAGCATCCACGTTAAGAACGCACGGTTGAGTAATGCCACCCTAGTAACACTTTGGTGACGCACAAGCTGCCTACTCACCATTTAGCAGTAGTTATTGCTTAAACGATCAATATTCCGATGCAAAACGTCCTGCCCGCCGCTTAAATAATCTGTTAGCCACGCGCACCATCGAAAATCCAAGGGCAACGGCTCGACACCCTAAATTTACTAATTCACTCGATTTGTACGCAGTCAGCTGACTAAATGCCACGGGATTTTAAGAAAACAACTGTTAATAAAAGCGAAGAGGCGAGTTCCAGGAAGAAGTCGCGAAGACACGATCGCTGGAACAAGAGCTTTATTAGCCTGACGGCAGCTCCCAAGTCGGGGCTAACTCGACGGGACCCAACCACACATTCATGTTTGACGAAGCACAAATTCTTGCTAGAGGTGAAAACCGTGTGAGCCGCGAACTGCTCGAGTCATGGTTTTCCGGTCCTCAGTCAATCAACAAACGCAACGAACTTCCCGCTCCATATTCGGCGCTGAGACTTTGTCTAGTCAACGTAGTTAACCGCGAGGACAGCGTGCGGATGACCACTGATCCCGGTGTCAGTACCGGCGAGCCAAATTGCCCAAAGAGTCCACACGGATGACGAAATTTGGCCCCTATCTGACTCTGTCTCTGATGATGGATTCGAGTGAGAATCCGAAACATCGGACTAATAAAGCTCATGTTCCAGCGATCGTATCTCCCTCTTCGAAACAAATGTTGGTCAACGCCGCTCAACCTTGTTCAGTCCGAACTTTTTCATGAATGAAATCCGAGCAAGTGGTGTCATGCTGTATGAAACTCCTAAATGCACAAAAGTTTGGATGTACCGGGTACTTTACTCTTCTGGACTTTCAAAACATTGCTCCTGTGAGTACAACCTAATGCTATTTGTCTCTTTACATCATGCGGCGGCCCTAGTTCTGGATTAAGAATACACGCACGAAAAACCCTGCAAATTAAACTGCGGTGGTAGCCCCATCCTTCTTTACTGTCAGTATTAATCGCTCGTCGCGTGACCGTTTCCGAGGCCTCCGGCCAGTACGCCATTGCTAAAGTTATCGATCAAGCTT